GGATTGCGTTTCATACATCATCCCATGCGCAAAGTGAGTCCTTTGTTCCTGCTTCTGTTATCACATCAGAGATTATCTATTGACTGAGGTCAAGCAGTACATTCTTCCTTCAACATTTGAAACAGTTTCTTGCTATCTATGATATAATGACAGGTAATTAGTGCTGGTTAAATACACATTTAATAATTTTTTCACATTTAAAAAAATATTTTTATAACCTAGAAATAGTCCCTGTTCTCTTCTGCAATAAATTGTGTTGTGTACATACCAGATCATGAAAACTATCATTACCTGCAGTATGCACTTAGCTTTCTGGCTATGGTAGCTGCCTGGAACTATGTATGAAGTAGCCTTTAATTTACGAAACGTTACATACAGCTGCTTTATGATATAGTCATTTTTGCTTGGAACGCAAGTACTTTTTCTGTTATAGTCACAACTTGCATTGGACATGTGGGTGTAATATTTAAAGAAACCCTGGAAGTAACGATCTAATCTGTGTTAGAGATAGTCTTGGAAAAGATTAAAGCCATGTTTCTTGTTTCTGTAGGAAAATGTACTGCTTGTGAATATCTGCATTATGTGTTTTGTAATTCTAAATGTGTAACAGGAGAGTATAAATTACAACTTTATTATTCTGTTTCTTTTAGGTACATTTAAAATATCGTATAGTGGGGTTGTCCTGCTTAACATAGAACCTACCAGTGGCGTGGTAGAGCCACAATCTGTAAAGACATTTAAAGTGGACATCTGCACAGATGTACCCAGAATCATCAAAGAAGTGATCAAGTGAGTGTATGGCTGAAGAAACCCAGCTCCATAAATTACATTTCTGTCCATTATTAATTCTAGTCTTTATTATGAATGTTTATCTAAAAAGTTAAGCTCCTAGTTGTCAGTTGCTGTCTTCGACATTTCTTTTCATTAAATTAATTTGATGATTATATTCTTTCACAGAACAGTGATGCATAAATTGCATACCTGGCTGTGTTATTAAAGATATCTCATAATTTGTAGTGATATGTGATGTTTGCACATCTCTAGGTATATAATTAACCCAGAGCTTTTGTATCTTTTACCTTTCTACGCATCCTGTGTTCCTTAATTTTTTTTAGCTTCTGTAACTTTGCTATTTTTCTTTGGCTCTGTGTTTCACGAGTCTCGGAAATGTTATGATGTCCTTTAGTGTATCTTATTTTAAATGGAGGGGAATGCATTTGCAACCACCAACTCTTTTAGGAACAGACTATTTTTAAGTGCCTACCTTGTCTCTATTCAAATGGTGAATATAGACATTTTAGGAAGTGCCAGAATTTGGAAGTGGATACCAATCTGGAAAGTCCTTTTCAATCCTATTTTCTTATAATAGTTAATAGGATGTGGCTGGGCTTTTTTTTTTGGGGGGGTGGGTGTTTTTTGTTTTTAAATTAAGATAGATGACTTAAAGTTCAGTTCTTCCTGTTCTTGCTTTTTGTAGCATGTTGGAAAAGGAAAGGAAGTAAAAGTCTATTAGAGTGACAGGGAAGACACTGTCTGTATTTTACCTCACAGTTGCACCTTTCTTCATATGATATTTTATTTGGTTATCGAGTTTCAATGTTTTGGTTGCAAAGTGTCATGCTTTCTGCCTTTCTTTTGCTGTCCCAGCTACCACCACAGTTTTCTTCACCCCAGCTTGATTAGATGGCTACTGTCTCCTGCAGTCTAGTAGATAATTTACCTGTTAAACAGAAAGAACGTAACTACACAGAGCTCAGATTTCATCCTTCACTCATTTCCTGCCTTAGATTTATAGAAAATTTATCAGTGAATTTTGCATTTCTTAGTAGTCGTTGCTGTATCCTTTAGACTAAATAAAATCTTAAGTTTCCTTGTCAAGCTTTGCACAAGTACATAAATATGTGTATACATGTGTGTACATATGTATTTAAACAAACAGGGTAATATTGGAAGTCTTGCAATGGATATTTGGCAGAAATTTGACTTGGGGAAATAGTACAGTTTTGATGAAAACACTCTGGTTATTTCCATTTGCCTTGTCCACTAAGCATTTTGATACTTCATGCAAGCAAAACTCTTTTCAGAGGAATCTACTCTTAATATCTTCTTTTTTGAGATTTCTATCTTGGAGAAACCCATAATCATGCTTCAGAAGTTGAAAGACTGTATTTAAAGAGTTTGAGATCCTTTAGCAGAGCCCTTGTGGAGTTATATATATGACTATTCAAAACAAGGGGTTTTTAATTTTTTTTTTTCAGCCCAGAGACTATTCAAATGGATAGTTGATTCTACTAGAACAATAAATTATATTACTAAATTTGATTGTTTTGTGCGACAAGAACAAATGTGCTTTGTTCCAGTAGAATTCTCATAACAAAGATTTGTACAGTGGCTATATGGTCCTTTGGTGTTCTGTGATAACATTGAGACTGAGAATTCAGGCAGGAACAGCAGCAGTTCTTTTATGTTTGTTCAGATGAACTTCTAGCTCCAGTTGCCTAAGAGACAATTACTACGTATATGCAAAAATTGGTATCTAGATTACAAAGATTCTCAGAAATAAGAGCACTGTATCATCTGTAGACACCTATGGTTCTTTTGAGATGTCATTCCTATTGTTTCAAACGTTACAAAGAGGGGAAAGACTCAAAAAGCTCCCCAAAACTCCACCATGTAATGTGAGTTTCTTGCTGATTGGTAATATTCCTGTAGGGGGTATCGCATTGTCAAGTACGCTGTCTTTCCCCACCCTGTGGAAAGCCAGTGATTTAAATGCCCTGATTTGGTTGGGTTTTGCATAGGTTCTAATATAAACCAAACTGATTCTTTCTAACACTTTTCTACATTACCTGTTGCTGCTTGCCACACTTACTGACAGAGTGGAGTTGGAAGGTCATGGCTGCACTGAAGTACGGATCAAAGCTGTTGTGGTTGAACAAGTTCTTAAAGTACTAGGAGTGTCTTGCGGAAATGTCTTGGAATGCATTAACTTTGGACCAGTTTACTTTGGGTCTTCAAAAACTGAACAAATATCTTTATACAATGAAAGTCCTGAGTGTGTCGACTGGGTAGCAGTGCTGGAAGACAATGCCATTGGAGGAGAGATGGTAAGAAACTATTCAGGTTTTTAATTTTGTTGAAAACTTGTTTTCATTTCTGCTTTTGCATTTTTTTGTTTCTCAGCATTCATCTTCTAATAATGTTTACTATGTCCTTTCTGAAATTCTGTCCAACCAACAATTTTTTAACTGTACTTTAACCTTGGAACTAAGTTTTTCAGATCTTTCTGCTTCACTATGTGACATCTTAACTGTCTTAAGTATGTTCCCTGGGTGTATCTTGTTTTGTTGGGGTTTTTCTTGTGTGGTTTTGCTTGAAATCCTACTGAATTTCCTATCACTTAGTGGGAGTTATCAAAATATATTTTAGTATTTTAAGATGTTAAACATCGGTGGTTTCCCTTGTTTTTCTCAGACAGTGAAATCATCTGAATGAGCATCATCTTTAGAAAAGGAATTCAAAACATTGATGTGAAACTGATGTTATAAAATTGGTTAATTAGCCACGTGATATGTAACTATGTCAGTGCTATTACTTACGTTGTCTTTCTAATTATGAAAGATACAAAAATGTATGTGTAGGGGACACCACCACCACCACTTCCACCCCCCCCCCAAAAAAAAAGTCCCCAAACACAAAAGGGGAAGCAGGACAGGCTGAACTATTCTCCATTTTCATTACTTTTTTAGGGGACAGATCTTCAGAGGAGCACAGATGCTGTTTTACAAGACCTAAACCTCAAAAATAGGACAAGAGATGTAGATGTTTCCACCTTGATCTTGTGCATTCCTAATCAAGGAACCTTGCTGCCTTATGAGAGTTCTTTGGTTACATTGTGCTTTAGTCCAAAGTGAGTGAGTGGTCCAAATTAGACACGCACACAAGTTGATTGGTCTAAACTGTTCTGTAAAGAGTTGTGTTTAACATAATTTTTTTTCTCTGTCTGCAAATTTTTTTCTGAATAACTTCGTACATATTTGTGTTAAAAGAAATTGCTTGGCATGATGCTACAAATAAGAAAGCAAAGTCTGAAGTGATTATCTGGGAGATGTTTTATAATACATTAAGAATTGGTTAAGTTTATTTTGTGAGAACAAAGATTTTGTTAGATTTTGCTAAAGGAACTAATTACAGCTCCCATTAAATATGTTGAATCTCTAAAGATTGTTTAGAGAGTTCAACATTGTCAAATTAAGTGCCTTTTTAGTGACTGCAGATTTGTTTCATGAAGGTATAGTATATGTGCAGCATTATGAAGCAATATATATATTTCATCAACAGGAAACTGAAACATTTTGGAGAGCTTTCTCTGCATTAAAAAAGTAAGCTTTAAGCAACATTTCTCCATAAGGAAAAGGTGCTCTTGCCTTGCTCATTTTCCCTTACTTAAACCCTAATTATAAGTTATTATTATGCATGTAATAGTAGTTTAGAAAACTGTCGTAAAATGGAAACGATATTAAATGACTAGTACAATACAGATATTGTTGAGCTTAAATTTGTTACTGTTCCATTTTCTGAAAGGAAATATAAAGACCGTTTGTTCAAGCTGTAACCAACAGCAAAGAAGCCAGACTGGATGATGAAAATTAAGCCCTGATTTTTATTTTTTTATTTTGAGTTAGGGTTTGGTGGTTTGTTTTTTGTCCCCATCTTGTAATTAGCGATTGTGATTCTTACAGAAAATTTAAAAGGGACTTTGGAGTTAATGACTTATCACCGAAACAAGATTATGTGCTGTTTCTGAGGTTCGAAGCTGTTGGGAATCAAGATGGCTATCTGCAGGCCCTCAATGATGGTGCCACAGCAATCACAAGTATGTTATCAGAAACGTATTGTCACCATTTCTTAGCAGTTTTATGGGAAACCTGTGTTTATTTTGTTTATAGCAATACAATCAGATTATTGTAATTTACATGTTTAATGCTTTAGCACCAAAAACCCACTTCAAACAGTGAGTAGAAAGGAGGAAGGAATCTTGTATGTCATGAATAAACTTGCTGATAGTGAACACCTAGAGCTTAATCACAAATATTTAGAGGACAAAAAAAAACCAAACCAGACAAAAACCCTTCCACTGGCAAGTCACCAGAACTTTGGTAATACCAGTTTTGTGCAATTTCAAGTGACTATTTGATCACGCTTGACTTCCTTAATGAGTAAATATGTAATCTAATAGCCTTTATAAGTAAGCATGTCTGTGTTAAGTTTATAGAAAATTGCATTATAAATCATATTGTATCATGGTGCTGGTTTTGTTTTTTGGAGCTATACAACTATGGTATGGCTTTTCTGTTTGTAAGCTAATAAGTGTGTGAGGTTTTGTTTGTTTGTTTTTTGTGTTTGCCTGATGCAGTGAGTCATCCTCATAATGTGGAGTTAGCTTTGACAGGTTCTGGGCTTCCTGTCATGTTAACTTTTAATCCGGGACCAGTTATTAAGTTTACGGACTGTTTCTGCGGTGAACAAACACAAGTTCTGTGCACACTGAAAAATGAGTCCAAGTCCCTTCCAGTAACATTCAGCTTCCGCAAGACTGCTCACTTCAACATTTCTCCTGAAAAAGGAAAAATTAAAAAAAATTCTACCAAGGTAACTACCTCTTTCTCTTAGATGATGGAGATATGCAGGTTACTTGACAGCGGTCAGCAGTGGGATTTCTTGAAAGTAAACAAGAACAATTTCATTTCAGTAGCTGTGATGTTTAGTATCAGCCAAATACATAATTTTTTCTCCTTATGTAGAATCTTTTAATGCTTTTTCCTGTTAGAATCTTTTAATGCTTTCTCCTGTACTCCAGAAAGCAACGAGTGTTATTTTAAATTGGAAAAAATAATTGTAGTGCTGAAGAAACTTCATCCAGGTTTTTCCTGGCTTTAAAATTTTTATATTTCACTGACTTGAAGATTGATTTATACTCAAACCTTTGCAGGATCCTTTTCATTTCTTTCAGTAAGTCACAAATAATTGAGTAAGATAACTTTTTTCAATGGAAGAAACTTTGCCAAATTTAAGTCAAATATGGACACATTTATAATTTCACAGACCTGTAACTCTGCACAAGAGACAACAGTTTGTCCCAGGAATAAGCAAGTGAGACATTGTGGTGTTCTATGTATAGCAGTTTTATATTTCCTTATATTGCTAATTTATGTGTGGCAGTTGGCATATTCTAAAAGCCCAATTTTGAACACCTATCTTAGAAGTAAGTGTGGAGAGAAGCAACTCAATTAAACAGAGAATTACACAAAATTTCTCTTTGCTTTTCTGCCTCATATGTCTCATAACTTTTCTTTTCCAGGATGTGACGTTTACATTTTCTCCACATCAAATAGGAACATTTAAAGTGAAGCAAGTTGTCGACATCATTGGTACAGGACTAGAGAAAAATAATTTACAGATTTCAAAGACAAAATCTTTTCACCAAATAGATTTGAGCTTTATTGGTGTGTGCAAATCTAAACGAAAAAAGATTCTATTCAAAATTAATCCTGGTAAGATGCTAAAAAGATAAGTGACAAGTAATAATGTTTTTGAAGTTAATTTTCAACATTTTAAAAGGGATTTTTATAGTATTTTTTGTTTGCTTTTAAAAAAAGAATTTCTCTTGGGAGTTGAAGGAATGCTCAGTTGTATGACATAGACCCATAAGAGTGTAAAACAATGGCTAAAATAATCGTAAAACCCTCCCTCACGCTTTCACAGATATTCATAAAATCATGGACTTAGAATCGTTTGGGTTGGAAGGGAGCTTAAAGATCATCTAGTTCCAACCCCCCTCTGCCATGGGCACGGACACCTTCCACCAGACCAGGTTGCTCCAAGCCCCATCCAGCCTGGCCTTCAACACTGCCAGGGAGGGAGCAGCCACAGCTTCTCTGGGCAACCTGTGCCAATGTCTCACCACCCTCACAGTGAAGACTTTCTTCTGAGTATCTAATCTAAATCTTCCCTCTTTCACTTTGCATCTGTTGCCCCTCACCCTATCACCACACTCCCTGACCAAGAGTCCCTCCCCACCTTTCCTGTGGCCCCCTTTAAGCACTGGAAGGCCGCTGTAAGGTCTTCCCAGAGCCTTCCCTTCTCCAGGCTGAACAACCCCAACTCTCTCAGCCTGTCCTCACAGGGGAGGTGCTCCAGCCCCCTGGTCATCTTTGTGGCCCTCCCCTGGACCCACTCAAGCAAGCCCATGTCTTTCTTGTGCTGGGGACCCCAGAGCTCGATACAGCACTGTAGGTGGGGTCTCATGAGAGGAGAGTAGAGGGTGAGAATCACCTCCCTCGACCTGCTGGCCACACTTGTCTTGATACAGCCCATGATGCGATTGCCTTTCTGGGCTGCGGGTGCACACTGCTGGCTCATACTCAGTTTTTCGTCCACCAACACCTCCAAGTCCTCCACAGGGCTGCTCTCAATCCACTCATCGCCCAGCCTGTATTTGTGCTTGGGATTGATGCAACCCAGGTGCAGGACCTTACACTTAGCCTTGTTGAACTTCATGAGGTTTGCACGAGCCTACCTGTCCAGGCTGGCTGGCTGGCATCCCTTTCCTCTAGCATGTTGACTGCACCACACAGATTGGTGTCATCAGCAAACTTGCTGAGGGTGCACTCAATCCCGCTGTCTGTGTCTCCAACAAAGATGTCAAACAGCGCCAGTCCCAATACCAACCCCTGAGGAATGCCACTCATCACTGGTCTCCACTCAAACATTGAACTGTTTGTCACACTGAGAGAGTCACAGTCATTTAGCCAATTCCTGATCCACTGAGCTGTCCATCCATCAAATCAATGTCTCTCCAATTTAGAGGTGAGGATATCATGCGGGACAGTGTCCAAACCTTTGCACAAGTCCAGGTAGATGATGTCAGTTGCTCATCCCTTGTCCACCGATGCTGTAACTCTGTCATGGAAGGCCACCAAATTTGTCAGACACAATTTGCCCTGAGTGAAGCCATGTTGATGATTACCAGATACCTCCTTATTTTCCATGTATCCTAGCACAATTTCCAGGAGCATCTGCTCCATGATCTTGCTAGGCACGGAGGTAAGACTGACTGGTCTATAGTCCCCTTGGTCTTCTTTTTTTTCCCCTTTTTACAAATGGAGGTTATGTTTCATCTTTTCCAGTCAGTGGGAACTTCACTGGACTGCCATGACTTCCCAAATGTGATAGTTGCTTAGCAACTTCATCCCCTAGTTCCCTCAGGACCCATGGATGCATCTCATCAGATCTCGTGGGCTTGGGCACTTTCAAGTTCCTTAGCTGGTCTCATACATGGTCCTCTTTTACAGTGGGTGGTTCTTCATTCTGCCAGTCCCTGCCTTTGCCTTTTGCAGTTTGGGTGTGTGGCTGGAGCACTTGCTGGTTAAGACGGAGGCGAAAAATTGAGTACCTCTGCCTTCTCTGTATCCTGGGTAACGAGGTCTCCTGTTTCCTTCCAGAGAGGGCCCACATTTTCCCTAGTCTTCCTTTTATCAGTGACATACCTATAGAAGCTTTGCTTGTTGGCCTGGATGTCCCTGGCTAGATTTACTTCTATCAGGGCTTTGGCTTTCTTAACGTGATCCATGGCTGTTTGGGCAGTTTCTCTATATTCCTCCTAGGTTACCTGTCCTTGCTTCCACCCTTGGGAGGCTTCCTTTTGGGGTTTCAGTTTGTCCAGGAGCTCCTTGAACATGAGCCTGCTCCTACCTGCTTATAGAGGGCCTCATCTTCTTTATCTTCCTAGTTGGGCAGCCTGTAGCATACCCCCACTATAATGTCCCCTGTCCCTGCTCCCCCTTTAATCCTGACCCATAAGCTCTCAGTCAGCTCCTCATCAATCCCCAGGCAGAGCTCCAGGCACTCCAGCTGGTCACTGACAGAGGGCAACACCCCCTCTGCATTTCCCCTTCCTGAAGAGCCTGTATCCTTCCATTCCAGCACTCCAGTCACAGAAGCCATCCCATGTCTTTGTGATGCCAATAAGATCACAGCCCTCAGGTGTGCGTGGGTCTCTAACTCTTCCTGTTTATTTCCCATGCTACGTGTGTTTCCTAGAGGCATGTAAGTTGGGCCACCTGGATTGAGGTTTCCCTCCCCAGGCAACTTTAATTTAAAACCTTCTTCAGCAGTTCAAATTGAACTATTAAAGCATAAATTTTCATCATATTGTTATTTAACTTCTATGAAGGCTTCAGTTTTTGGCAGTGATGCAATTACACTGTGCTAACGTATTTCAGTTGTAAGTAGAGAGATGGGTAAAGCACAGAAAGAAGTTAGGAAAGGCAACAGGGTATTCTTTATTGATTGAAAGTTACTACTGCCAAATAAATTTGCTGGTTAGACAGCTTGCTACTTGTCCCATGTCCATTGACTATTCCCATCCTCTGAAGCCTATGCCAGCATGAAGAATCTTTTAGGATATGTGATATTTAAACTCTAATTTGTTTTTTGTGTTCCCAACATGTCCCACGAACAACCACTTTACAGTAGATTTGACTAAGCCTGTCACTGGATTTTAACACCAGTCATGGGAAACTTAGCTTTTTCTAGCATAAAATATGCTGTAATATCTGCAGGTGGTACTAGTGCAACAGGGCTGTCCTGTACAGTGGTGCATCTGGTTTCTGTGTGCAGATAAGGAGAGGAGTTTGAATACACCTTAACTGACTGCTGCCCACCTGAAGATGCAGGTGATGAAAAACAGGAAGGCAATACTCATTTTTTTTCAGAGAGCATTGTGGGGAAGTAGAAAGAAAGTTATTGGAAAGTCAAGGTAAAATACTGTTCTTTCTGCAAATATCAGAATGGTTGGTGAGGCACTGGACTTTCCTGCTACTTTTGGGAAGGTATTTCAAGTCCATGGCAATCAAGAATTGATGAGAAACTAATTTTGCCATCTCTGGGTTTTATTGTTGAAATCCAGAATGCTTGCAGTTTTTCTCCTTCAAAAACAATTAAAATATGTTCCTGTGGATCAAAGATTTAATGAAGTATTTATTTTTGTCCGTTTTTCTAAATGTTCTTGTCTACCATTTGCTCTATTAACGCCCCCATTCTGCTCCTTTTTGCAGGCATGTAAAGAGGTTATGAAGGGTATCTGTACCCTGTAGTCTATTGATATCTGTGTTTTGCTTTTAAGCTTCATTGAAGTATAGAGGGAAAGTGATTTTTTTCATATCCTTGTATAGACAGATTCTGTATCTTCCTGTTCTCCAAGTCTATGTGGATAAGTATGCATACTTGTCTCTTTGTATTTGGTGGAGGGGGGGAAGAGACTGGAATGAAGCTTCTTGCAAACTCTGCCTCCCTGGGTACTGGAAGTTGTAATCTCTCATATAGTCTGGAGGGTGGAAAGTAGGTTTGTTTTTTTTTGTTTGTTGCCATTTTACAGTAAAGTGAGGCTAAAATGGGTAAAACCAATATATTTAGTTTAATGTATCATTTTTTTTTGCAGGTGAGGGATAATGGGGGAGTTAAAGAATAGATTATTTATAGTGCTGTTTTAAAAGTGCATCTTTATGTAAGGAGAGGTGAGCAAACACATGGCCTAGTTTCTGTCATAATTTTTTCTCTTCAGTCTATATGTGCTCTTCTAAAACTACAGTGAAAAAATCTGAGCTCTTTTTTTAGTTGTGGTAGCTTGTGAGTTCTTTATCAAAAAGTCGCGCCTGCGTTTGCAGCCCTTAAGCTTTAAGGCACTGCGTACAGTGTTGTGACAGAGGCAGCCCTGAGTGTTTGGTCATGTGAGCATGCAAGACAAAGTGTTACAGCTGGACATAGTAGTAGTAGTGGTGTGGGCTCTAGTATTTGTTTGTCTGTGATCTAGGTCAGGGAAGTCTGTTGGCTGTTAGTATGATTTGAATGCCTTGGAATAGACCTCTAAGATCATCAAGTCCAACTGTTGACTTAATACCACCATGCCCGCTAAACCATGTCTAGAAGCACTGCATCAGCATGTTTTCTGAACACCTCCAGGGATGGTGACTCAACCACTTCCCTGGGCAGCCTGTTCCAGTGTTTGACTACTCTTTCGGTAAAGAAATTTTTCCTAATATCCAATCTAAACCTCCCTTGGTGCAACTTGAGGCCATTTCCTCTTCTCTTATCTCTTGTTACTTGGGAGAAGAGACCAACCCTCACCTTGCTACAACCTCCTCTCGGGTAGTTGTAGAGAGTGATAAGGTCTCCCCTCAGCCTCCTCTTCTCCAGGCTAAACAACCCAGGTTCCCTCAGCTGCTCCGCATAAATCCCGTTTTCCAGACCCTTCACTGACTTTGTTGCCCTTCTCTGGACACGCTCCAGCACCTCAGTGTCCTTCTTACACTGTGGTGCCCAAAACTGCACACGGTATTCGAGGTGCGGCCTCACCAGTGCCGAGTACAGGGGGATGGTCACCTCCCTACTCCTGCTGGCCACACTATTTCTGATACAGGCCAGGTGCTCTTGGCGTTCTTGGCCATCTGGCCTTCTTTCCTCTTGTCTGAGGAAACCATAATGGCATGGGTGACTGATTGTTATGCTGCTGGGTAGACCAGTATAAAATAAGAAATATTTTTTTCTAATACTTGGGATTTTGTTTAGGAAGTATTAGTATTATGAAGTTTATGTAACATGTTTTTTTTTTTTAATTTGAAGGTATAACACCAATGATTTCCAATGCAACTGGACAGTTTGTAGCTGATGGCATGGGACAGTGCACTGATACGGCACCTGTGGCAATACTTAAATCAGCCCAAACAAAAATTCATACTCACAGGATAAACAGGAATTATAAGGGTGATTCACTTATAGCTTTTCCTAATGACCGCGCAGCCAGCATTAGGCCTAGTGAATGGAATAAAAAGTACAGGTAAAAATTGTGCGAATATAGTATTTAAAGTGACACATTTGTACGTACTATAGTAGATCAAGACTGGTTACTCATATGACAGTTTACTGTTTGGGTTTTGTTTTTTTTTTTTTTCAGACTGAAAGTTCTTTAAAATTCATTGCATTCTGCTTAACCTGAAGCCTCTTGCACATAAATTTCTTGAATTGCTTCTCTTATGTGAAACTACAAATGTAGCTATTACAGTTTCAATATTTCATTTTTATGGTTGCCTTTACAAGGTCAAATATTAATCAGCTGTGATAAAAAGAATGTTTGTGATGAAATATATATATAGCAAAATCAATATGTTTTCATTGTAACAAGACCTAGAATGATTTTACACACGTAGTGAAGCTACAATTCTTTTTAAATATTTAGGACTATTTTCACGAAGACTGAGAGATATAATTATATAGATCCAGAGTTTTCTTATACTGACTGTGAACGACTGTCAAAAGAAGCAAATAAGCAATACTACTCAGACTTCATTTCTAGTTTAAGACAGCGTCGTTTACAGAAAGATGCTGCTAGGTAAGACTCTGTTTAAAGGATAAATAAATATGCTTATGTGAAAAACATGTGTATATACATGCAGAATTAATTTAGTAGCATCAATCATATACCTAAATTTGTCCCATGCTGAAATGCTTATGGTCTTGGAATCTTCATTTATAATGCATTCAAAACCTGTTTTGTTCAAATGTTCATTTAGACACTTACAGATCTTTTCCTGGGTAAAATGTAGGGACAGAGGCATGGAACTTGAAATTAAACTTAAAACGAACTTAAAATAAGATGCGAAGTTTTAAGAAGAGTTGTTTATGGCTAATAGGAAAAACCTAACATCAATTGTGTTGGATTCTCTTTTATTTTCCTATAAAAAATTGTATATATTTCTACCTAGTATGTCTAGCTCACCCAAATTGATGGATTCAGCATGTAGCTTATGATGTAATTCGTGGAATGAAGCAGATAAGATTAAAGGATTGTGTTGGTCTTCTAGCCTTATCTGGTAGCAAGTTCTCACTTCATTAATTTGTGTATTTGGTTGGTATGCTGTGGAGCAAGATCATGGAAAAGCAGAACTGACAGCTCTGCTACTTTTAAAACTTTTATTTTTTTAAAAAAAGTGTGTAAAGCCTCTAAAGCAATAGAAGTAATACTTTAAGAGTGTTAAGTTTACAAGATGCATTATTTAAAAAATAATAATGTCAGTGGATTATTTTTGTAATCTTAATTTACCTTGCTCTGTGTATGCACATCGTGATTCAGACAAGGCCTGCAGAGCTGGATTTGTTTTGTTTTTATGCATACACGTAATGTACAGGTTTCTTGAAAGGAACTGCTGTTGTTTAGTGGGTGAACTGTTGTTTATATGACCATAATGTGTAGATTTGAAGTGTATTGCTTGAGGAGTGAAAGAAGAAAGGAAAATTTCACAGTTATTGGACGAATGTCACCGTTTCATCAAACGTAGTAATAATTTTCTGAATACTTTATACAAAACCTCTGTGTAAGATCTCTGGAAGTTTCAAATCTCTTGATTGCAGGTGAAATTGATTGCTTGGAGGTGAACTTTGACCAAGAAAAATTAGTTGCTCTGAAAAATAGGCTATACGTGGTCCAGTTCAGACATATACAATTGTCCTGGTTTGACTGGGTTAGAATCCTAGGCCAGCCATGCTAGGCAGGCTGTTGGCAGATTCAAGTCATGCAGGGCAGCTGACCTGAGTGAGCTACAGGTGTAGCCCGTACCGTAATGTCATGGGCATTATAAAGGGGGAAGGTTTGCTGGAAGGGGAGCTCCTCTGGGCTTCCCGTTGGGATTCCTCCTGCTCTTCCTCTGCCTTCTCCCTGCTTCCAAGAACTGCTCTCCTATTGATTGTGATGGCTGCATGTTCGTTTGGCTGAGTATAACTCTATATATCTCTGTTGGTGCTGGTGTTGTTTAATTAAATCTGTTTCACTTCCACCCACGGGTCTGCTCTCCTTTTCCTGATTCCCCTCTCTGGCTGGTGAGGGGTCATTGGGTGGTAGAGCAACTGTTATGGTTTAGCCCCGCGTACAGGCTAAACATAGACAACAATTAAGGGATCTTTTATAATCTTGGTGTTTGCTAACTTTAAAGTGCTTGACTTTAATTGTTCTTTAAGAGGTATTTTAGATGCAATGTATTATTTACATTTAGGTATCTATAATGCTTGCAACCTATTTAGCTAAACAATTGCCACAAACATGCGACAGATGTTAATCCTTGCCTAAACCATACAATAAAAGACTTTTCAATGCATTTTCTGCACTTGAGGGTTTTTTTTTATATTGAAATAGTCCTACTTAAATTATTATTTGTTATGTTTAAAGATCTTGAATAGTTTAACCTGTAGAACATGGAGTGCTCAAACTTCCAGATTGCCTTTTTTTTTTTCCCTCCCCTATAGGCAGTTTTATATGTATAATAATTCTGTGAGCTTAGGCCTTAAACCAGCTGAAGGACTTATGTCACCAAAGATCTCAATCACAGATTTTCAGAAGGAGAAGCCACAGTTCAAAATGCTTCCTTTAGATGAGAATTGCCTATTAACTAGCCGAAAATTGGCAGCAATTGGTTCTAAATCTCCAATCGAAGAAGTAAGTTAAATACTTTAGTAATCTAAGCATAATATGTTTACCATGTAAAAAAGCATAAGAATTTTGATCCTGCTCTGAGAAGATGTCTTGTGCTTATCACAGATTTGGGGTGGGCTTAGTGCTATACCATCTTCTACCCAAGAGAAGGAAGACTGTAGTCTAACTTTGACATCCAAGCAGGTTCATCAAATACTCATTGGTAAGATTTTTAATTTGATTACTAAATGCATGTGGTTGTTATAAAAGCATGTGGTTATAGTAACACAATTTATGTTCATAATTGTTCACCTTAAACAGAAAATAGCTTAATTTGGTAGTAGCTTGATATCTACAGTACTGTTTATCTAGAAAATACTGGGATATGATTAGGTATGAACATGGGAAGGGAGACCTGCCTTTAAAGACTGCTCATACTACAGCCTATTATAGAGAAATGAATGCAGCATAGTATAAAGTTTGCTCATACCCTTATGCCTTGTTATTGAATAGTGTCTGGACCAGCATTAATATCAGCGAGATTCATGGGAGTGTTCAGAATGTTTCTGCGAATTAACAGTGAACAGTGATATCACAAAAAAAAAAAAAACTTCTTCAGGATTCTCCTTCAAAATAATTTCAGTGGAGTACACCTTCTAAAATCTGTGAGGGACTCATCTAGTAACAGCACTTGGTACTAAAACTGCTCTATTTTAAGGTCAATTTTTCCTCAGTAGAATTATTTATCAGCAAAGTAAAAATTTTCAGTACTTTCTGGGCTTTTTTTATTTTCTGTGAAGCCAGAACTTGAATATGGTACAGCTGTGTATATTGATTCACTTGGGGAAAGGTAGAATAAGAGAAACATTAATACAAAAAGTACTTAAAGTTTTCTAAGATGTTTAATGAGTGCCGTGAGCACTGAAGTTTGCAGACCAGTATAAAAACTGGTGATAACAGTAGATAAAGCAGTGAGAATTCTGTCGCCATCAAATTACATGAGTTATTAAATCAGATGGTTACGTATCAGGGAGCAACACAGAGGTTAAGCACATAAACTCTCAGTAAATTGCTGGTTATCTAGCCATTTACATATCTGATTAACAAAAAGAAGTATGTATGATTATTGATAATGCCTTCGTAATTAGCACATTGCTTTTCCTATTTTAATAGCTGGCTAACACAGAATGAAGAAATAAATGTTAGTGCTGGCTTTTGAGTTGTACTGCTAAAAATGTTCACAGCACGTACATGGTATTTACTTCCAAATTTTAGTGTGAGGTAGTTCTGCTACAGGATTGTTGTAGCTGACTAATTCTGTAATTTGAGGAACTGAAATATTTTGATCATAATGTTTGAATAGTTACACTTCCTTGCATTAACTTTTCCTTTTTAATGTTGAAGAGCTTATTTCTTATATATTCCAGGTCCTTCTACTATGGATTTTGGTGAAGTATGTGTGTATTCTACAACAGCCAGAAAACTGCACATCATCAATAACTTGTTAGTTCATATATGGATACAAATTATGGTTGAAATTGATGAATTACGGCAGACGAGTCCCTTGTCTCAGGTGGTGCCTCCTCTTACAAAGACTCATATTCCAATTGTATTTGAGACAAACACTCTTGGAATGTTTAAAAAGTAAGGCTTCTTATGTTTCTCTTGATTTACATAGATTCTTTGCAGTAGTAGAGCAAAAAGAACCTCATGTGACTGGTAAACTTAGTGTAATCATGGTGTTAATGGTGTACACTCATTTATGGTGATATTTAAATAATTAATGCAGTTTTATGGAGCAAAATTTTGCTAGTATAGTAATGATTCTCAGGCTTTAAAAAAACCCAACAAACTGTCCTGTCAAAAGCCCATATAGCCACAGGTATTTCAGGGAAAAAAGTTTGCTATTACAGTGTATTTATTAGGAGGAATTTTCTGGAAAATACTGTGTTCTTTCCAGAATAGTGTTGCATCACTGCATCTATGCTCAGATCTTTTGATGCAGCTCACGGGTAAATAAATAGGCAAATGTTTCTAGTCTTCTGGTATGGAGATGAAACTGTCACTTTACTACTGATGTTGAAATGACTGTGTGAGGTTGATTATCCTTTGGGATGCTCCTCACTTTTGACATGATATGACTTGTATGCAATACAATTACAAATATCTTTCTCTTGTCAGTCTTAACTGTGTGTGCACGCTCAGTTCTTTTGTTTTTTCTTGCTAATTATTATATTTCACACAAATTTTACTTTGACTACAATGTAATAAATACATTAAAATATTGAGAAATATATGTTTTTGTTACAGATCTTTCACTTACACGATAAACAACCAACACCATGGGCAAGTGCTGGTAGTTGCAAATGCAGTATCTGTTGAACTCGAGCTGTCTGCAAGGGAACTGATTTTAAAACCTATTCCTGGGTACCTAGCAGAGACAGAATTTAGAGCAACTGTGAGGGTATACAATCCCAGAAACCATCCTGCTAGCTTGGAAACCTATAATGACAGATAAAGGAACTGCATTTTCTATACAGCCAGCCAAAGGTATGCTCCGCAAGTACAGTCTGTGTGCACGTATCTTAAATGTCAGTAACATTAAATAAGACAAATATTCAGCTGATGCTATAAACTATATTTTTTTCAGATTTGGGTCAGTGTCAGTGCATCCCGAAAGTAGTATCAGATCAGAGTGTTAATACCACAGCAGCACTCCCTGTATAAGCCCTACCCTGAGTCCATACTCAGTCCAGTTCGTTGTTTCTGTGTCCAGCCAGCAGGACTTACATAACCATTTTTCTCAGCACACATTGCTGATATTTCAAATGTGAGGCAGCTATTTAATGGTAGTTAGCAATATTATACAGCTCATCAGGACAGAAATTTTCCAAAAGCACTGTATGAATGAAGCTACTAAGAGGTTGATGTAGACAGTCTGAGCCACACAAATGGAATTCAATCTGGGATTAATTTCCACTTGCATTATGGATCGATATTTGTTGAAGTGTGTAAGACATTAGCTTTTTTACCTTCTTTCCTTTGAAAGACAGTGTTATGTAGGAGTCTGTTGGAGCTCCATTATTGAAGAACTAACTGCTAACTGAATTCGCATTACACAATTGAAACAAGACTTGGCTCGATCAGGAGCTTGGTGTGCTCTGATTCTTGAGAAATGATATTTCTGGTGATAGGATTTCAGACTCAATTGTAAGCAAGAAAATGTATATGGTGTCTCCCAAAGTTGTTCTACAAGAAGGGTAGTCTGTTATTTTAAATGTTGATTGTTTCAGTAATTCATGGCTAAAAAATAAGTGAACTTTGAGTGTGTTTTACTGCAGGATACTAATAAACGGATTATGCAATTGTCGTGAGAATGCAGAAACTGGTTTTATTTAATTCAGCATACTGTTCAACACCTTTGAAATGTAGCTTAGTCTTCAGTAATAGAATGTCATTTCACTTTAATGTGCTTATGTTATTTCTAATTATACAATGTAATTTGATAATTGTACATATGTATGCTATAATGTGTAAATTGTGCACCTTTATTTAGGCTTTGTGGAGGCCTATAGAGATCTGGAGTGTGAAATTGTTTGGCATCCAGGGTTCAACTCTCCAGAAGCAGGAGAATTCAACTTGTGTGTCTGTAAAGGAAACACAATTAAGTTGAAATGTTTTGCGAAGGTAACAATTCATACAGCAGATTTAGAGAAGCAAAATATGTGTTCTGTTGTGTGTTTTATTTCTAAACAAGTAATTTCTTAAATATGTTTCTATTATCATGTATTCAGAAAATATTTTAGTTTCATATAGCTTCCATTTGATATGTTTGACAAAAGAATATTGCTCCAAAGACATGATGGAGAAGGCAAGACAGACAATTTTCCTTTTTCTTGCTTTCGATGATAAGCTTCTTTTGCCACCTCAAGTTAGTTGTCCCTGTGTGTTAAGTGGTAATTTTTCTTCTTGGCTTACCTAGGTTAGCCAAACAAAGATTGAGAGGTGGTATGATATTTCTTTATGTATGTATTAAAGGGATAGAAATCAACAGGGGGGGCTGTGTGTGGGAAGGTACGTTTCAGAGCTTTAGGGTAACAACGGGTTGTAATGTAGTTTTGTAATGTTATTTGAACATGGTATTTGATAATTTGAAAAGCAGTGTTCTGGATAGTCTTCTAAACACTGAAATTCAGCTTAGGTTGTTAACTCATTACATGCCGGGTAGTGTGAAGGAGACAGACTTTTTAATTTTTTTCCCCCCCCATCGTATTCTACTGGCTGCATGCTCTGGAACTTCCATTTTGGGAGCCTAGAAAACTTTTACCTGCCTTTTGATGTGCCTGCTTTCTCTTTTACACACACCACCCACCCCGCCCCCCCCAATAGTTTTTTTTCATGTCTTCCTCTTCTTTTGAAGCCTTGGAAACTGCTGTATGTAAACCAGGATGTGTGTAAATTAGAATATTGGCATTTCTACTGCTATTAAAATCTCTTGAAGTATCTTGTCCTGATCACACATTTAGGAGTAAAAAAATGTCATGGAGATATTAAATTAAATTTAATTGAAGTATGTTATTTGTCTTGAAATTAGCCCAGAAATATCTCTGGGATTGTGTCTGTTCACTTTGAATCTCAATAAGTTCAATATATTGAGTAAATCTTGCCTCACATTTAAACCTTGTTTGTCTATTTGAATACTTCTAAATTACGCATTTCCAAAAGTATATTAGCTCATTTTGTAATGAAAAGAAAATTAGGCTGAATTATTTATTTGTACTTAGTATGTTATTTAGTTTTCTTGTTTTCTCTTCTTTTTTTTTTTTTTTTTTTTTAATAGCTTGGTACCACTAAAGTTCAGTTTATGGAACAAAGGATACCCTTCAGTCATAGTCCAATGGGTTTTACTACTTGTAAGACAGCCATTCTTCAAAACATAGGATACAATCATGCATACTTCCAAGTAAGCTAAAACTATTTTTATCATATTTAATTCCTTGGAGTGGGGAGGAATTGAGCCCATTCTATCGGATCATGTTACAGTTTTGTGTTCTCAGTTATTAGAAACTCACCTACTTAAGTTTTTGTCTGTTTTTCTGAAGAAACAAGGTCTACATTAATAAGAATTCTGTCCCTCTGTCAAATTTGGATTGGTGGATAGGTGGCCTGACGGACAGGGAAAGTCGTAATGGTCTAAAAGATTCTGAAAGTTTCATGAGAACCAGTGGTGAGGGTAGAATGCCATAATGGTGTACCCTATGAAGAAGTTACAGCTTGGATATTTTCATATTTTGAGAGACAGAGCAAACTGGCTAGTCATCCTGTTCATGCTGGCTGCCCAGTCAGTGCATAGACCCAGACCAGTCTCAGTAAATGTTATTACTTTGCTAGGCTAACATCTGAGAGGAAGATAGGCTGTATTATAATTGGATAAGAGGTGAGATGGATGCCAGAGTGGGTAAAGACATAATACACAAATTAGTAGGAAACCTAACCTCACTAGTTCTCCTGATCATAGAGTAATTTGCTGTATTTATTTAGTGAAGAAAACTAAGTTTCATTGAAATCCTCAGAATTTTTGTGACTGTTATTATGGTACTAAAACTCAATTAATTTATTTTGATTTCTACCATATTTCTCTGTTTATCAATGGAGCATTGTAATAACAAGTACTATTACTACATTCTTACAGGACAGTTCTCTAAGAATAAAGTCAGCATAATCAATAAAAACAAACAAACATACCCAGCCTTTTAAGCCTCCACAAGTTACTCTTAAGCCAACAGGTTGGTTGGTCTTGGTCATTATCACTTATGTAGCTGTACTTTAAAAAGTTATCTGTTTGGAGTGCATTGGAATAGAACAAAATTCTATTTTGTCCTTACTAACTGTGTGTAAACTGAATATTTACTCCTAGTATTATTACTGAACTTTACAGTATTAGGATCTCATGTCCAGTCTACTTGCTCACATTCATGTGAATGTCAAAAAAAGAAATGATGAGTTTATCTGTCGCTGAAAAAATGCTTCATAGAATTTTCTGGAGACTTGCTAGATATTAAGTCTTACTTTTAATAACTTCATGAAAACAACCTGAAAACCAGAATGTAAAATTTCCAACTGGTGTGCAAAAATTATTTCATAGTAGAGACTGACAGTCATCGTGTTTAGGAATCCATTACTTTATTTTGTTTAGTCATATTTTTGTTCCAAACTTCTAAGTCCAAGTTAGCATTATATGTTATGAAAATTCTCCTTGTAAGAATATAAAGTCGTCAAGATAGGTGTATCGGTATTTAAAAGCAAAACACAAAAACATTCCCCCTGCCCTTTTCAGTATTATTAATTTTTTACATTTGTGTTTGAAGGTTCTTGATTCAAACCCACTGCCTGGAATGATGATCACCCCTTCTGAAGGGGTGATACCTGTGGGAGGCCACGCTGATCTCAACGTCTATTTCACTCCAAGTGCAAAAATGAGTTTTGATACAAGAGTGGAGGTATTCAAAACTGGAAGAACTTTGTCTTTTGAGTGTTATGTTGTGGGTTTATGTGTGGAGATGTACGCACATTGCGCATCTTTTGGATTTTATCTCCAGTGTTCTAATGCTTTTTAAGAAACAAAAAAAAGTTGTCTTATAGCAGTTGATGGCTGCCATAATCTGTTCTGTTTTGCCTCAGTCCTGCTCTGAAGTATCGAAACAGCCTCTCAGTTTGAGCTGATTCGTGTTATACCATTGGCAAGCTGTTGAAACTAATGTGCGATTGTCTTTAGAAGGTCATGTAGATGTATCTGCAGTTTATATGATCTATAGAGGAGCAGGACTGGAATAGTACAGTATCTTTAATTTCTTGGTTTCTTTTTGTGATCATCCCGGAGATGGATTTACTAGTAGATTTGATTTGATAATCGGAGTGAAATAATCATCTAATCATGTTTTGTCTTCTGTGTGCCTGCTTCCTGCACTTGTCCTTGGCCAGGTAAATGAGAATGGGGAAAAGAATGCTATCACTGTTCTGATCTTTGCTACCTTTTCTGACTAATCCTGGATTCTCCATCTTCTGTGTCTGCCTATGTTATGCTCCCTAAACCTAGTATCCGTTTTCTTTTTCTGTTTCTAAAACAGTTTTAGCATTGCTCAGATCAATAGTATGATCTGAGCAATGGTATGTTATACCAGCACCTCTGTCAAGCAATTTGTGTTGCAGTATACTTTCCAATCCTCACAGCTGCTGAATAGATCTAACCCATCCACTGAGACTTCTCCTGTTGGAGAAAACTTCATTCTAGTGATACAGCCTCCTGCAACATTATTTTTGTCTGCAGAAAACTTGTTGTTCCTAAAACTTTGTTGGTTTGATTTTTATTTTTTTATTTTTTTTTTTAAATTGAAATCTATGACTTTTCCAGATATGGTATGCCACAGAGGCATGGTTGGTTCTTCTTTGAAGCCAGATCTCGCTGGAATCTGTGTGTATATATATGTTCTAGAAAATGAAGGCATTTTCTTTACTACTTTATATTTCTGTAACAAAAATGCAGTATATTTTAAGGGCCGAGTCATTTTCATATTTTTATTACAAATTATGCTGAGTGTCTCTCTCCACTTTGTATCTGTGGGGTAGGTTTGTTTTGTTGTTTGGTGGTTTTTTTTCTCCCATGTAGTTATGATAGATTTGGTGATATACTTACGTTAGAATGACCTTGTCAACAATCACACTGTTGTCCATTCACTTAGGTAGCGGTGCGAAATTCAGGAGTATTAGTGCTTAGGATTGGTGGATTCGTAGAGATCCCTGAAATAAACATTAATGTGGTAAGTATGAAGAAATTGTAGCAATTGGTGATATTGCTAGTGTTTTCCTTTGTATAGGTGTCAAAGTGACTCATCCCTACTTCATATTTTTCGTTTTTTCTTACTTCCTGAGAAAATTATCAAAGAAAAGAACTTAGGAAGGGAAATTAAAAACTAAATGTACGTATAAGAATTGCACTAAATGATAGCTCACAGCTTTGGCTTTTGAACTTGACAGTCTGGAAAAAGTATGTTAAAAGGCAGAGGATTTCTTTAAGGTGGTTTATAGGGGAAAAAAAAAATGCAATAAGGGGAAAAGGAGTACACTAATCTGTGTACTGAATGATGAAAACTTTCCTGGTGGCGTAACTGGACTTCTGTACTGAATTCTAAACTGTTACGTTTCATGTCCTGGAAAGATTTTAAAGATAAGTGTTATGCAAGACAATTGATTAACCAAGACTGTTATTGTGTCATAAATTGTGAATCTTTGAATAATTGTATTTTTCACATTTTGCTATAAACTTGACTTCACAGTGCTTTGACCCAATATTTTCTTCTTTAAACTTACAGGAACGATTTGACTTTGGTGGTGTTTATGTTGGTTCTACAAAATCAATTCCCTTTGTGCTGCAGAACAATGGACAAGCGTGTACCAGAGTGGAGTTTGATTTTTCTAAGTATAAGGATTTTAAATTGAATGCTAATGACCATTCAGGTATTTGCTTTTGCTAAATCAGAATTTTCATTAAATAAGGAATGGATAATGCTAAGAGAAAATCTGTCAGACTATTTCTGGTGTACAAATTTTCTGGTTTAAGAAAACCTAAAGCAGTTATTTTAAAAGTGCTGCTTAATATAAATTAAGAGGAGACATTTTGATTTGCCTGTAAAGTGACAAGTATATTTAAAAAAAAACCCCAAAACAAACCCTCTCACCAGTTGAAAATAAAAAAACCCCAAACAACCAACCAAAGCCAAGCAGCTATACTCATTTCCTATTCATGGACTTTTACCCACTGTTTTGATGTTTACCCTTCAGTTAATTCATATCAGTGTAAGGGTCCAGACTTTGCTTTTTTTCCTAATGGTACAGGGTGTCTGCAGGTTAATCACAGGACCTCTGTTTTGCATGATGCCCAACTTGGAATGACATTAGGGCATTACGTGGAATTAGATTACTGTTTGTTTCTTGACAGAGCTAGTGCAGATTCTTATCTTTCACTCATTGTTGCTTATCCCTTTTCTACTTCAGTCCTGGCACGTCCTTTGTTGTTCCATCTTTACTCATGAGAGAGTCTTGCAGCTATGCTCATATGGTCTCACCCCTGCAAGCTCAGGAAATCAGGACTCTCTCTTTTACAAGGCAGTATTATAATATTTAATTATATCTTTATGTGGATGATGAAAAAAAATGATCTGACAAGAACAGAAGGGGTTTCTTACCATCTTGTGGACTTGAAAGGAAAGGTGTGGGCTCCTAGTCAGTCATCTTAACTTTTAAGAGAACTGTTAGACTGTCTACAACAGGCAACTAGCCAGCGTGGGAATCAACTCGTTGCACGTGATTTCTAGATCAGTTTGTGCTTGAAACAAGTAATATGACATCCAGTCAGGTCCAGTGCTGTGCAAATGGTGAATACGGGATGAATACTGATCTTGGAGGAATGTTTCCTAGATTATTGGAAACCTATGCTTCTGCCAGTGCCTTAAAATTGGATGTGAAAGTCTGAAAAATGAAGCAAACCTTACTGCTATACTTCTGTAGTGTAGACTATCCCTAAAAGTCATTTAGAAAAATAGTTTCAGCCAACTATTTTTCTCACTGTGGTATTATTTAGTTAACTATTTTTGCCTAACACTTTTATTCAAAGGTAATTTTTTTCTGAAATATTGTGTTCTCCCAAACCAATAACTTTAATGGAAATTGCTGGTGATTAGCACTTCTTAAAATTATGTCCAGAATGCTTATGAGAAATCCTATATTAATTTGTAACTTTGTGATAAATGTTTATCATACAAATATGTAGATACCTTAAGTTGGAAATCACTTCGAAGTACTGCAACTATTACAAAGTGGAAATTTAGTCTAATAACATCTGTAATCTGATTCTGAATTTTGTTTGACAGTGGTTGACTACTGTTCTTCAAAGCCTTATTTGTATTCAGTTAACTTAAAGGGAAAGTCGACTTCACAATGCTTGTTGTCCTTCATGCCAAAAAAGGTAGGTTTACGTCACAGTGGTGATTATGCTAAATTAAAGTCATGCTCTGTGATATTTCTATGGTGAAAGAATATAGACATTTTAGTGTGTGTAATAGTTTTATAATAGTAATGGAATTTTTAATAAAACAAGTTCTGAAATAACCTTTATAAAAATTTTGCTGCTTTCCTTAAATGTTTGTGTACACAAAGAAAACACACTTTCCCAATGAATTAAAAGTGGAAAAGATATAAACTTAAATTGAAGTGACTTACCATGCATTCATTAAATCATTCAACAAACTGGCAGCCATTTTCTTTCTGCAGCTGTGTTTGTTTTAACTCTCAGATGACTGAGGGACTGCAAAAGTAGAAGAGTTTTATGTGTCATAGAGATTGGCAAAGTTGCTTTTTGATTGAGCTATTTGAAGGAAATAAACTGAAGATATGAGACTTTACAGGTTAGTTTTACATCAGGAAGATAGCATTTTATTGGCAGTAGGTGTCAATAGAGAGTGCTGTAACAAATTTTAAATCTAAACCTATCGAACAATGCTTTAGAAATGGAGGGTTTGGAGTTTCTGCATGTTTGCAGAACAATGAACTAAAAAGAAACTTAGTCTTTGATACTATGAACCAGCTTCAGAACAAGCAGCTGGGGGCCACTTTGACAGCACATAAACCTGTTGCATTAGCTGCATTTTTACCTTAAACTATATGAGTATCAGAGAGAACACATCTAGGGAGGATCAACAATATTGTTTTTCACGCCAAAAAAAAACCCCCCCCCCCCTTCCCCAGCACTTTAATTTTGGAATAAAATGGAATTCCTTTAATTCAGATAATATTTGCATATTACAGGCTATATCTGCTAACACTGAATTTTTTTTTTCCTCCTATTATTACTGTCAGCTTAGATTTTTTTTGTACCATGGAAGCTATTGTAAAATAACTGATGGTGTGAATTTATAGCTCATTCACTACTTTGAGATGATTTTTGCTGACAGAATATTAGTCAATAAATTAATAAAAAGTGATCTATTTCAAACCAAATTAATTTCCTCCTGTATCGCAGCAGGCCTTGAGGTTAGGGGAGAATCAGTACATGTCGTGTCTTTAAGTATCTTGACACTGTCTGATGCAACATTGTCATAAGCAAGGTGTCAGATTTAGACTAGATACAGTGTTAGGAAAGTATGTAATTGTTTGCAAAATGGTACGTACAGAATATTACCAGTGAGCTATTATCAAACTGGAGAGGAACTCAATAAGGAAAAATGCTGATATTTCCGTTTAAGTAGGAAGGGTTAATAATAGAAATGCAAGACTAGATAATGCTGTTGGAGTAATCTATGTGCATGGTATTGTAGATCACAAGAATTAAAAGTAGAGGCAGACTCCATATCAGTTTATATAAATAGCAATAATGTTGGTGAAGTAGTAAAAATAAGTTTTGTAATTATTCTAATCAGTGCTGATAACACTTCAGCTAGAACACTTTTCCTATTTGGGATGACATGCTTGAAGAAAGAAGTGGAGAAAATTTCCCTGGGAAAGAAGGTCCAAAAGAAAGCAATGGAAATGATCAGAACTCCAGAAAAACACAAACTGCTGTTTAAAAAAAAAAAAAAAAAAAAAAGCCAGCTGGATTAGATTAGCTAGAAAAACTCATTGTAGCATAAAGATTCAAATATTGGAATAAATAACCTGTTATCTCCCTTATTGAGGCTTTTAAGAAGGGTTTGGACAAACATCACCAGAAATGCTTCACTCTCTCCCAAGGGGGAAAGTCATCTGTCAGACAATCACATTTGTCCGTTCTAAAAGCATAACCTAACAGTGTGTTGTTGCTGCAAAGATGAATTTCTGACCCCACTAAGGCCAGTGTTAAGGCTCTTAATAATTATGAATACACTATTTAGTGTCTGTCTCTTGCTAAGTGAGAAATTCACACTGGTTAAACAATAACTAATACAAAGGAATATAGATTTTTTATCCTGAAATGATGAAATTGGAATGTGGAAAGGCTAGCTTCCCTTAAAAATAAAAAGTAGTACATAAAATAGCACGGAGCCATGTAAAGTGAAAATGAGGAAAAGACTGATTGAACTTTTAATGAGAAGATGTATATTATTACTGTTCTTACTGCCAAGCTTTGAAACTGAATTAGTTTTGATTTTTATTTTACCAGTAAAGTCCTCTGAGATGCATATTTCACTTACAAAAGCAACCTGTTTTACCAGCATTCTTTGAAAGAACGGTTTTCAACTTAAAGTGCTGTGGAATACTTATGATTTTTTTTTTTTTTTAATTCTAATTGAAAGATTGTCAATAGAAATGAGAAACAAAATCATAGAATCATCATAGAATGCATTGGGCTGGAAGGGACCCCCAAAGGTCATCTAGTTCAACCCCCCTGCAGTGAGCAGGGACATCTTTAGCTAGATCAGGTTGCTCAGAGCCTGACCTTCAATGTCTCCCTGGACAGGGCCTCCACCACTTCTCTGGGCAACCTGTTCTAGTGCTTTACCACCTTTATGGTAAAGAACTTCTTCCTAATATCCAACCTAAATCTACGCATTTCTAATTTAAAACCACTATCCCTTGTCCTATCGCTACGTGCCCTTGTAAACAGTCCCTCCCCACCTTTCCTGTAGGCCCCCTTTAAGCAATGGAAGGCCGCTGTAAGGTCTACCTGGAGCCTTCTCTTCTCCAGGCTGAACAACCCCAACTCTCTCAGCCTGTCTTCATAGGGGAAGATGATTAAGTTTTGTCAAGTATTTAACAGAAGTATTTCTAGTCTACACTGTAGATGAAGTTTTCTTTTTTTTTTTTTTTCCCCCCCTGTTAATCTCAGTAGCTGAAAGGACACTGTTGTGTATAAGATCTAAACCACATACATATCGATGGAAGCCATAACCTGAAATCTGACAGCTCTGTTCTTGCTTATGCCATTGGATTTCTCTGGTGATAGTGCTGCTGTACAAAGTGATTCTTTTTTCTGCACTGTATTGGAAAAGACTGTAGTGGAAGGTCACTTGTGTCTCTTACAGATTAGTGAAATACCAACTCTCTAAAAACTTAAATCGCCTTGCTCCTTTCTGCCCTCCCTCCCTAATTGTCAAAACAGGGATTTTATTTGCCTCCCAGTACTCTATTTCCCACTGTCACCATTAAGCTCCATTGATATTTTCTTTACTTGTCAAATTGCAGGATGAATTAAGAGTAGAAATGTTGCTACTGACACTGCTGTAAATTCAAGTGATTAACTAATATTTCTGAAGACTACTGAAATAGCAGATGGTTCTTTATTATGTTTGATTTCACTTGTCATCTGAACTACTGTTCAGTATTACTGTTCGTTATTGATGAGCATTTCCAACTGTCTTTTGGTATTGGCGTTATGGTAATCTAACTGAAGAGGGGGTTATATCAGTTGGCAGTCTGCTTTAATTAGGATATAAATTTGGGAAAAACTTATTCTTTCATTTGACTGGACCTATTTTGTTACTGCTCTTCTTAAAAAAAAAAACAAACCAACAGTCAACCAAAAAAACCCCTGTAGAATATGTTGTATCTATTGATTACAGACTTTCTGATGTCATGCTTTTTTAGTATTTCAAACTCTGGGTCTAAATGTTTTTCCAATCTTGAGAATAGTTTTTTGGCAAACAGAACAACTTCCTTCAGAAGTAAGGGAATAAAGAACTTTCCTAGGGCACCTTATGCCTCACAGCCAACTAATAAGTGCTGCTCTAATGAAATGTCCTTATTTTTTTCCCATTTCCCTCCATGTGCTTACAGTCTTTCTGTCTCCCTTTGCCTTTGGTGCTGGGTAAGCTCACTGTACAACCAGTGCTTCCCTTCTGCTCCAGGTGTATTATTGCCTGCCTGTCAGGGTGCAGCTTATTTACTGCTAGGCAAGACATGCCCAAATACAACCTACAACCCACTGGTGGTCACAAGTTAACATCACTGAGAGTTAGTGCAGCACTGACAGCTGGCAGTAATAGCACTGACTAATGGTAAGTGAAGTTATCTTGGAAAAGTATCAATCATCTGGATGAGGGGATTGGGTGCTCCCTCAGTAAGTTTGCAGATTACACTAGATTGGGCAGCAGTGTTGATCTGCTTGAGGGTAGGAAGGCTCTGCAGAGGGACCTGAACAGGCTGGATCGATGGGCTGAGACCAACTGGATGAGGTTCAACAAGGCCAAGTGACAGGCCCTGCACTTGGGTCACAACAACCCCATGCAGTCCTGCAGGCTTGGGGATGAGTGACTGAAAAGCTGCCCAGTGGAAAAGGACCTGGGGGTGGTGGTTGACAAGTGGCTGAATATGAGCCATCAGTGTGCCCAGGTGGCCAAGAAGGCCAACACGATCCTGGCCTCTATCAGAAACAGTGTGGCCAGGAGGAGTAGGGAAGTGATCGTGGCCCTGTACTTGGCACTACCGAGGCTGCACCTTGAGTACTGTGTTCAGTTTTGGGCTCCTCGTTACAAGAAAGACATTGAGATGCTAGAGCGTGTCCAGAGAAGGGCAACGAAGCTGGTGAAGGGTCTGGAGAACAGGTCTTATGAGGAGTGGCTGAGGGAACTGGGGTTGTTTAGCCTGGAGAAGAGGAGGCTGAGGGGAGACCTCATAGCTCTCTACAACTACCTGAAAGGAGGTTGTAGTGAGGTGGGAGTCAGTCTTCTCCCATGTAACTAGTGACAGGACAAGAGAAAACATCAAGTTACGCCAGGGGAGGTTTAGACTGGACATTCGGAAAACTTTCTTTACTGAAAGAGTAGTCAAACATTGGAGTTAGAACAGTTGCCCAGGGAAGTGGTGGAGTCACCATCCCTGGAGGTATTCAAAAAACATGTAGACGTGGCACTTTGGGACATAGTTTAGTGGTCATGGTGGTGTTAGGTCAACAGTTAGACTTGATGATCTTAGAGGTCTTTTCCAACCTTATGGTTCTAACTAAATATGTTGCCCAGTATGGCATGACTAAAGGAAGCATCTGGAAGTATATGT